TAGGAATTAATTTCGAATAAATATCGAATTTTATATATTTCTGTTCTCCTCATTTATTTAAATAATTTTTAAAAAATAATTATTTAACAAGTGATAAGAATAGCTAATTACGTCAAATTCGATGTTAATTCAAGAATTTTTTTTCGGTTCCCTTATCATTCATCTTATTAAAATAATATTTCATCCGTTTTATAAAAAGTGTTATATTTCCCATAAAAGATGTCATATTTGGAGAGAGTTACGATTCCCCAAACATAATACTTTTTATTAAACAAAAAGAGTACCATTTTACTTTGAATTCCGTTGTGAAATACTTAAAATAAAATTCTCAAAACACATAAACAACAACAATAAGTCTTGTTTCCATTCTCGGTTAAGAATTCGGATCCACTCCTAGCCAAGGAATCTTGTGCATTGGTATATTATAAATTCATCATACAACACAGTTACATCATAAACTACAATACTCATGCAACTGCGGTGTAATAATTATGCAACATATTTATATCAAAAAGATAACACCGTGCAACATATTAGTGTTGTAATGTTATAAGATAATTAAATAAAAAATTTAACATATTTATATAATTTTCCATTCTCCATTTAAAGTTATTGCGTTCACGATATAAAATTATTGTGTTAAGCACAACACATACACAAGATCAAAATGACATTGTGATGGAATTCTTATTCTTCGATTAAGTTACACATTACCGTATCATTCCTAATTAACTTTACCGTCATTAATTTTGATCTCCTGTTTCACTAATATTAGTTCTCAAGTTATTATAAGATGAGACCACGATTGATTGATGTAAGCTTCGCTCATAATGAACAGGATTACCTAGTTTTAATCTACAAGGAAATGTATTTTGAATTCACAAACTAAAAGAAAATTGATAAAGAACTCTATAATATTATTGATAAAAGATTAAATTATGCTCTCACAATACATGTATATTTATAATAGAGAAAACCCAACATTAGAAGGAAACTAAAAATATAAGGAAACTAATCTTAGAAATAAGTCTAAAAATAAAATATTTTTAAAAATTCTAAAAAATTAGAAAACAAAACCTAATAAATAAAAACTAAAATCTTAAAGCATTCTGATTTTGTCAAGCCCTTGATAAAAAATCTGGAAACAATCAACAGGCCTCCTAAAACACAATAAAATGCAATTTCGAAGTCTTTAAAGAAAATTTTCAGCCGAAAATCAACATGACCCACAAGTTAAAGCTAATGGGGTTTTCTCAATAGAATATTTCTATCCAAAAAAAATACTTCTTTCAAGTCAAAAATAGACTTGTCGAACTATTCAAAATTTTCATGTATTATAGGAGGGCATCTGCTCAAAATTCTGTCATGCATTATAGGAAGGGATTTGAAAGAAATAGACTAAAATTCATTAGTAGATTGTGTCCCTCTAACATAACTTCAAGTCACACAGAGATTGATAAGGAGTGCGAAATAAGAAGTGCGTAAAAATAGTAAAATAGTATTTTTTTTGTTTCATTTTAAATGTCGGCTGTGAGTTACAGATCCCAATTGTGAGTCATAAATTTCAAAATCGACGTTTAAAATTAAAATTATAAATCACATGTTCTGAAATTGACATATACATTAGAACGGAGGTAGTAAAATTTAAGTTGCGAGAGCAAAGATACGGGCATAAAGTAATAATAACGTGAGAGCATCAAGAAATTGTATGCCCTGCTATATGATTCTCAATAGGGAGCATCTTCCAATGTGCATCACACAATACTAATAAAGGAATTGTACTGATTTGACCTTTTAGGAAAATATCCATATCTGTTCACAAATCGTATGACATGCTATTTGAGACCAAGCAATTTCTTTGCTTTTTGGTGGCAACTGGCAAGTCAGGCAAAATGTCAGTGTCACGCATGTCTTGAACACATTAAGGGTAATCTCGTAACCTCACTACTATAAATCAAAGACGTCCATTTTCATTCCCCAAACACGGACACGAGAGAAAAAATATCGTTCCTCTTCTGTTGACCTCACCAATCTCGACCTAGAACGTGTCATTATCCATCGTCCACGTCATACTATCTTGTCCTCTAATTTTCGCAACAACAATATTTGTCGGTTAAAAAACAAGTAAACCTAGTTCTCATTAAATACTAGAATTAGTGTTATATCGAACACTTGTCAAATTTACTTGAAAGTATTTTAAAAATTAGTATAAATTACACTCATACCCTTCTAGGTCAAATTGCACTGACATCCTTCCAAACCAAATTTAATTTAAATGAACATTTCAATTTTAACTTGCACTCAAAAGTTAATCCATATTTCATTCACACTTGAAAAGTCATTTTTTTTTAGTGATGTCAGGCTCCTTTTATATGTAAAATGATAATATTACTCTTTTAAATTTGTTTTGACTTTGTTTGATGTATAAAATGACTTAAATACTTCAAAAATTCATTTCTAATAATTAAAATGTCCTAAAATTTAACCCCTCCATTATGCTTCTCAAAATTCATTTTTAATAATTAAAATGTCCTAAAATTTAACCCCTCCATTCTTCTTCTCAAAATTCATTTTTAATAATTAAAATTCATTGTGTGTGCGTGCGCGTGCGTGCTCGCTTATGAAAATTTCTTTTAACTCTTTTTATTGTAATTGGCTTGAATATATATAAGAAGTTGCTACAATTAAAGTATATATATCATAAATCACTAGTAACAAATAATTAAGGAAGTTAATTTGTGTAGTTAATGACTTAAATGTAACATTGTGTATATATATATATATTATAAATCAAAATAACTGAGTCGGACAGTGAACCAAGCACAACACCATATAAGCCCTAACCCCAAACCACGCCGCCGCCGTCGTTCCCTAATCTCAGGTCCTTCGATGGTGGGTTTTTCTCTGCACATGCACTCTCTCTCCACCCATCAACGACATCGCTGCCCTATCTCTCTTCCGATCCCAAATCGATGCCCACGACATCCTCCTCTTCAACTGGACTCTCCCTGCCACCGGCGGCCGCAAGAATGTTGGCACGGTGGTGGTGGTACGTTCTCCAGGATAGCCGTCGCCGTGCCAAGATCGAGGCCGCCTTTGCCGAATCGAACTTTAGCAATGGAGATTTCATTGGCAGGAAGAAACATAGTGGTGGTGGTTGGGGTGAGGATGGTGGTGGTTGTGGGGTGGGATGTTGGTGATGGCGCCACTAGCCGCTGGTGGTTATGGGTTGGAATGGTGGTGACTGTTCATGGTCCGGTTACTACATATGTAAAGGAGATGGATAAAAGAAAAAATATACTAGTAAAATATATAAATGGGTTACTTAGAATATCAGTATACATATATATATATATAGGGGTATATTTGTCATTTAAGTTTATAAAATATTTGGTATTAAATTATATTTAAAAAATAAGGATAAATGAGTCAATTCATATGTGTTAAAAATAAAAAATAATTTGAAATGTAATTAAGAATTAAAATCAAAATATTCATCTGAAAAAATTTGACATAACCTGAAAGATGTTTGGTAATTTTAAAATATAACAGGTGAGTTTTTAAAAAAAGAATGAAGTTTAGTACAACTTAAAATATGTTATAAGTTAATTAAAAAAATAAAACTAACAAACACCTAACTCTAAACATTATATAATAGTATTAATTTTATTCTTGATTATATAGATAAAATGACATAAAGCATATTGTTTATACATCTAATAATATAATATATATTAACATTTTTTTTTTTTTTTTGGACATAATCATGCCTTACTTATATTTTATTTTTTTATATTACTGTATTATAGTGGATTCATGTTCATTACTACACTCAATTTTTTATTTTTATTTATTTATTTTTTTTTTGTTATTCAAAGGCACAAAGACTTAAAGTCAAGATGCAGTGCAGATGTATAAAGTCAAGTCAGAAAATACATACAAATCTTGAAACAAAACAAAAAAATGAAGAACATGCTCCAAATTTGTGGAGGAAATATAGTCCAACACTCTGTAAACGAAACCATCATAGGAGAACGCTGTAAACAGGATAGATCGAAAAGCCTGACCATAATCACGGCAATCGCTCTAAAATTACAACCACAAGGCGCTCCAACACCTAAGAAACCTCCCACAAAATCAAATTAAGGAGAAAAAAATTAAATCGAGACGGGAAAAATCAAAACCGACCTAGACCAGAGATCTAGTCGGAGAAAATAACAGATCAACCCAAATCTGAAAACGAACTGAACATAAATAGATCTAGTAAAGAAAATAAAAAAATGACGTAAAAAAATACTCACAGAACATATTTATTGAAACATGTCGAGTTTATTGTAATCGTGAGAGACGACTTTCATCTCTCTACTTTTATAGAAGGGGAGTAAGGAGGCAGCGTGAAGAAGATGAGACTGCCTGTTAGAAAGAGAAAGTTAGAGGGAGGGGGAAGAGAAAGTTGGGGCGGCTTAATTACTATAAAAGATGTTGGATACTAATATAACTACACAGTTTATCTTACAATTTTCTTTCATACATTAAAAATAAAAATAATCATATCATCAGCAAAATAGAGAAGTCTATTCTGTCACAAGTGAAGAGACAAAAATTGTTGTTGTCCTAACACAAAGACAAGAACATATTGGCCCTGGTTAAAATTGAATTAGCATTAGACCACGTGTCCAACTTCTGGAACTCCAATATTTCTCTCTCCACAGTCCCACAACGCCAAGGGCAGAGCCCCAATGTGGGCCCACTTTTTGCTAAAGTAATTAGTAACACTCATCGACATCTTATTGGCTGATCAGTAAGGCCGAATTACCATCCTCATCCGGTGGGCCCACTTCAATACTGTTCAGTGGTCCCAGAGCCACGTTTTCACTTTCAACCAATCAACGCTGTTTGTTTCCCACTGTTCTCACACGTGTTAGTTCTCATACGTGTCTTGGTACACGTCTTATAAATATACCACCCTATCTTCAGTTATTCTATACATTACACACTATCAGTGTGTTCACTTGTGAAATCTATATCTATATACATATACACATAGAGAGAGAGTGTAGAGAGAGACAGATGGACGGTAGGGGATCGTGCTGTATTGCACGGTACACTGGCGGTGCGTACGATTTGTCGAAAGTAAACCGTATAATGCTCAGATTCCGGCCTATCGCGCCGAAGCCAGCCACCAGTGGGTCAGTTTCCGGCGGTTCCACGCCGGAGAAAAACGAAGTGTACGTCAAGAATGGTCGACCTAAAAGAAGGTACGTTAGACACACCAACAACAACAACAACAAAAGCAAAAGACGTTACAACAGAAAAAGAAATAGCTCGCCGAAGGAACCTGACACACCCAGTGACAAAATCAGTGGTGGGTCAGATTCCGGCCGCGAGACTATCGTGACACTGCCCTTGTTGCCGGAGACACCCGACCCGAAAGAGATTTCCGGTATTGGGCCTCCGAGTAATACACCGATCTGGTTGAACTTGAACGGAAACGATAGTCACGTGACGCTTGGGGTTGGTCACGTGACCGTGGGTTTGGATCGGACGGTGTGGATGTCGACGGTGACGGTGGAAAGGGTGACGGACACGTGGGTGGGCGGCGGCGATGTGCTGGGGAACTGTACGGACGAGGAGAGGAGGATGAATCTGGAGAGGGACACGTGTCCGGGGTTCATATCGGACGGCTTGGATGGGGTGGTGTGGACGAACGGTGCGTACAGGGAGATGGTTGGCCAGGGCGGGATCGTGCGGTTGGTGATGGAGGAGAGGGTGGCTGTGATATGGAGGGCGTTTACGTGCAGGGTGAGGGTAGAGTATTGCGACAACATGACCATGGAGGAGAAGGTGAGGGTGTTGAGGATGCCTTGTGATGCGTGGAGGATGGAGGGTGGAGGATTTGCATGGAGGTTGGATGTCAAGGCTGCTCTCAGTTTGGGTTGGTGAAACCGATCTCACCTGATCAAAACTCACCGAGTGTGTATATATATCTATATAATATCTATATATGTGCGTACGTGTAATAACATGGATGATGAAGTGCTTTAATTGTTAATATTTTTGGAGACCCATGGATGGGTCCATTTTGTTTTTGAATTTATATCACCAACTCTTTGCTCTCGTTTGGGTATTTAATTGTTTAATTGAATGCTTGTTTTGGAGTTTTGATGGTGAATACTAAGTATAGGTTATGGTGCATATATATATATATATATTATATTTATGGTTAGGTGTTTTATTTTTTCTTTGCTCAGAGTTTTGGGATTGAGAGAGAGATCTAGACTGTGTACTTGTGGAATGAAAATGAAAATGATGTCATTGAAAGAGAGAATATATATATATATATATATATATATATAATTTGGTGGAATAAAAGCTGCTTGTGATGGTTGAAAAGAAAGAGAGGAGGTGGTGGCGTACGTTGGGACAGGTGGACTACTAGTAGTGTTGATGGATGCATATTGAAGACTTTTTGTTATTGTTCGTGGTTTGATATTTGATCATCCAATAGGTTGTTCCTTCATTTTCCTCTAATTTTATCACAACCAACTGCTTTCTTTTAATTTGTCTTCCGGTTTGCCGTCACTTACTTTAAATGGATAAATTACATATACATGCATTTTTGGACTATATATAGGTATATATATTTTTTATTTTATTTTTTTTACAATTATATTCATCTGTACCAATTATGCCTAGGTAGGTTGTAGTTTATGATGTATCACTTTATATGCACTCAGGTGTCATTATTTGTGCATATATTCGTGAGCTAGGTCCACGGTCAGTCTTGAAATTGACAAAATCTTTAAACGTTCTAGGCAAATTTAAATGTGAAGTTCTTTAATTATTAAAATACACATAAAATAATAAATTATCATATTCAATTTCGAATTTAATCACTAAGTTTTTAAGGGTCCTAATTTTAAATGGACTATGAATTCCTTAAGGCTAAAATTTGAAAACTACTCTATTGTTTAGAAAAACTATCAACTAACCTCCTTAAGTACGAAAACTATCATAAAACTCCTTAATGTTTTAAAAAGTCTATCATAATAATTCCTCCCGTTAATTTTCTGTCAAAAACTAACCGATCAGATCACATGATTATCACGTGCATAATATTTCATTTAAATATGACCATATTACCCTTTTAACCATTTAATGACTAAACTGCCCCTACACTCCATATTTTTCGGCACTACATGTGTTTTCGGCGTGTTTCAGCAGTGGCCAACGTGAGTCCAAAACAAACAACCTCAACCAAACTTCAGAGATTGCTTTAGTCCGATGCACTCCGTTTCCAGATGAAACAAAGACCCAACATATTGCTTTATTCCGGCGACGCCTCGGGTCGTCCTTGGCAAAACCTAGTTCAGTCCGGCAACATCTCAATCAACCTCAACCCACCCTGACGAAACCCAGTTCTATTCCGTAAGCCTTAAGGTTCTTTCTGCATGAAACCACAACGATGACGATGACCAAACCAAGTAGTACCGTGACCTGCATGCTTTATCCGACAATAAATCGGCGAGCTCCGGTGAATAACCAAACTAGATCCACTATTGGCAAGCTTTACTAGTGAGCTCTCCTTGGCGAAACCTAACAAATTGCTCAGTCCAGCGAGGCCTCAAGCTTCCTTGCTGAAATCCATCAATTCGGGCGACGTCTCAAGCAACCTTGATCCACCCCGACGAAACACAGTTCAATCCCAATGACCTATTCCGTCCAAGAAATATACTCAAGTATTATAATTATAATTATAGAAATCCTAAGGCAATTATCCTCTATTATGCCGTTGATGTTGCTATTTATTGTCAATTGGCTAGTTTTTTCGTTTGCAGGTAATGGTGGATATGTGTGTGTATATATAATTCCTATCTACTAGTAATTACTATAATTATAGTAATTATAAATATTATAATTACTATAATTATATTTAAATAAATATTAATATACTATCAAGGGTACTCTTGTCATTTTGCATGTACTTAAAGGTTCTGTGACAAAATGAGAATAATGTGATAATTTATGTTATATCAAGGAGTTTTTTTAATACTCAAAGGAATTAGTAAATAATTTTGATAAACAACATGGAGTTTTCAGATTTTAGCCCATTCCTTTAATCAAAGGCCCTAAGTTTTTGTTTTTTATTTTTTATCTGGGCCTACAAGAGTGAGCTTGTTGATGGGATTTTGATTGAATATAGAGTGGTAGGAGAAACAACTAATCAAGGTATTCCAACGAAGAAGAGTCATCGTGAAGTCCAATGAAGAAGAGTCATGTTATGTGGTCTAATAGTCTAGTCTATGTTCGAAGTCGAAGCGATCAACGTCTGAAGTGGGACCCAAACATAGGTCCCATTTCAAGCCATTAAAGACCTTATTGCTTCGGCTGCATGAATAGGCTAGAATATTCAGCACTTTGCTAAAAACGAATCATGAGTGGAGAGAAATTGAATACGTCTCAAGTACAGTATTAACCTACTAACTAAAACATTCACACCTAGTAATAGAATTAAAAAATAGATTCATTCTTAGTTATATGACAGTATATATAATTGGTTGATGAATGGATTAAGGAGGGAGTGAATTATTTGAATATAAAGATTCTTCTTCTTTTTTTTATTTTTTATTTTTTATTCAACTTGATATTCTCGATAATGGTGTTGCATATTAGTTTGCATAAACTTTTCAACATCATCAACATAGTTTATCAATATCTCATATCATGTAACTAATATATATATATATATATATGTGTGTGTGTGTGTTTCATTTTCCGTATAAAAGTTTTAAATATAACGAATTAATACTCATATTTTTTGTTGAGTCATATAATTCATCAAACGAAATACATAATAATCATTTTATTAGAAAAAAAAAGCAAATTTTTAATAAATGGACAATAGTAACATATTGGTAGCTAACCGAAGCAACAAAGTCAATAGTTTTATATATCGTCAGCCATAACTAGTGTATAAAATACTATGTATCTAGGTATTTTGTTAAATGTTATGATGAATTAGTTCTTCTGTCTAGAAACTGAGATAAAAATTGAAGATCTATTCATTTGTAATTAAAAATAAAATATTTAAATAAGATATATATGCAATTTTATAAATATTTACAACCATGAATTTATTTCATCACTCTTGTATATATAATACTTATATGTTATGGTAATTTTTATCACCAATTTATACTTTTATACATAGGAGTAATCGATTTCAAATGAAGTCTCGGACCGAAGCACTTTAAATTAAAATGAAAAATGAGACTTCAACTTTATTCTTGACTTATGTATTTATTTATTTTTGTTCCATCCAGATACTCTCTTTCTTTAAACACAAACACATGCACACACTGAAACATAAATCACATAATTGCAATTGTTGGTCAAAATTCTTTTGTAATCTTACTCTTAATTCAGAATTATGGTACTCACAAATGACATATCAACAGCAAAAATGTTTCGCCGCATATTTTCTTCTCACCGACTATTATACATTACTGTACAAAAAACATTACAGCTGCTGCTATGCTTTTGCTACACAACTAATTTTCAAACATACCTTCATCTGACATTCTGGAGGATTCAGTCCCATTAACGACAGGTTGGTTCGAAAAATCCACATTAGGGTCGCCCAGAATACTGTAATCAAAGTCGTCGTCGTCATCATCCTCATCATCTAGGTCTCTACCAGTGCCATCTTCTTCGTCAACCTCTATCTGCATTACTCCTTTCGACTGGGCTTCCTTTTGCATCCGCTGATTGATAGCATCTTCATAAGACATCTCATACCAAACGGTTCCCTTGCCCACAATAGATTTATTGTGGGCATCTGTCATCCTCTCTTGCTTGCTCTTTTCTGAATTCTTGGGTTCTCCCCAGTAGTCGTACCGGTATAAAGGGTTTGCAGGATCATATTCATCTCCAAAATAACTGGCATCTACATACCTTCCCGGTTCTTCTAATGGGAGGCCAAGGGCTTGCCGGCTGAAAGAAAAAAGAGTTCAATCAGGAAGTAACTTAACTGATTTTAAGACGACCTACAATTTACAGTGAGTAAGCCAATCATGAAGGATTTGGTCCGTCCAAGTATTGAGACAAATTTTCAAGTTTCAAAACCAAGCCCAAATTGTATTATGATTTATAGGTGTAGTACTGATCAAATAGCATGTTTGAAGGCAGAATACTTAACAGGGAATGTTGGTTATTAAACAGAAACCTCAGTGGAGGCTCCTTCTTCTATGAAATATATTAAAATGAAAAAGAATAAGACTATTGACAATACCAGCTGATATCTCTGATCAGAGCCTCCCTTTCCTCTAATGACCGACGCCAATGGATCAAGTCATATTCGTCCATTTCAATATTTCGTCTCATCTTGGTATCTTTATATTCTTCTCCTCTTTCTTTCGCTTCCTTTCTTAGTTTATTGTGTAGCTGCAATAAAAGAGAACAGTATTCAGGTGCAAAGGTAAAAGCTTTTTGCCAACTTGAACAATAAAGAGAGCAATTTTAAATTACATCCATCAGCATGCGAAATATATCAATAAAATAATTTTTGTATATAATTTTCAAAATTACCAAAGATTGGCTTCATGAAACTGCTTAGAAATGTACAAATTGTCTATTACATATGAACTCAGATACAAGATGGTATATAGAAATTCCCGACCATGTGAACATGATATCAGCAAAGAGAAATGCACATGTTCATCCAGCTTGGTGTGTGTTTGTAAGAGGTTCAAACAAACAAGCAGGAGGAAATGAGCCATATATATATATATTTTTCTCAATGCTTTTCTTGTTGCCTCAAGTAGGTCTATACGCAGCCTACTCACAACTCTTGATTAATGAGAATCATGCGGGTAATGACCCCCATTTTTCATAATAGATATATAGAAACTAAAGTAACTCCATTGGTTATCCAAACCATTGAAGCTCTCAGATGTGAACTATCAATGTTTTCTCAAGTTGTGGCCTAAGAAATACACATTCTTGTGCTAGCCCCATAAATGACCTACAAAACCAAGAGAAATGATGTAGAACCTAACTACGGAACAAATTAAAAATAAGAAAAAAGCAGCAGATGATCCCAACTTGATATCAAACTAACCATTATTGGAGAAAGAAAAGCTGTAGCATTCAAGTACTTGAGAACACAAACAATAAAAGTCTCAACAGAATAACTAACCTGACGCTCAGCAAGTGCAGCTTCCAAGTCAAGTTCCTTAACACTGGTTTTCTGGCAACATGTACGAACAGTGTAAGGTAAATTCATTAATAGATAAATGCAATGTCACAAGAAAATTGCTCACCAAAATTGTTTTTGGTATTAAGGCTTTCTTATAGTAAGCTTTGGTATATTCTACACTGTTTTCTTCATCAAAATCATCATCATCAGTTAATTCTGACAAAATTTTGTCTTTATATTTATCAGGATTGTCCTCCATATCATCCAAAATCATTTGCTCAGCCACATGAAGTTGCCATAACTGCAAGGCAAACAAAATACACAAGAGAGACTGACCATGAGAAACTCAAATACCATAGAGATGCATGATTAAAACTGTTCAAGGTAAATGCTCATTATGCGATCACGATCCAGATAATCCAAATGATATTCTTCAAGAACATTCTTTTTCTAGGAGTATATGAGAACCCAATTCAATTCTTGTGAGTTCTTACACACTGAAAAAATAAAAAGTTAAATTCTTCTGAGGATTTTCTAGAACAAACAGAAAATTTCAATAAATCAAATAAGAAGATTTGAGGATCCTTTATGGTCCATTTGGATAACTAATAGGGAAAAGAAAAGAAATGATAGCATAGAAGAAAGGAAATGGGAGGATAGAGGAAGCTCTTTATGTGTCTGGGTAAACTAAGAAGGAAGAAGAGAAATAACAATAGCAACTCTTCATTATGTTACAAAAAGATAGTGGAGAGAAGAAAGGAAATGACTTTTTTATCTCATAAGTGGTAAGGGCCAAACAATAATTCACTAGTTATAGTAAAAAGGAAATAATAAAAGAACATTGTTTAAGGGGCTCAGCCACCCTTCCCTTTCCCTCCTTTGCCTTCCCTTTCCTTCCTTGTTTTTAAACCAAACGTAATTCAAGTTGTTCCTTTCTTTATCTTTCCTTTCAGCTCCTTTACCCCCAGTTGCACTCTTAGGGGCCCCAGAGAAATATTAAAAGCTCGGGCTTTCAAGCATGAGCGAACTTGATTATGAAGGCAGTCATTTCTTGTAAAAGTTTGGCAGGACTAACATAGCTAATGGCCTTTTTTTTCTTTTCTTTTTTCCTCCCGTCTCAAGTAATGCTTGCACCCAAGAGGACTTGAACCTTAGACCTGATGCTTCATGAAGCAACAGGGCCAAATAACTTATCCACTTGAGCCAACCCCTTGGGGTATTTATGCCCTCTTTTTATTTTCTTTCAATTCTTCTTTCTTGCAAGTTTTATAACTTTTCTTATAATATAATTGTCCTAATCCCTGTTTCAAATTTTGAGAAGTATAAAAAAAAAAAAACAAGTAATGAATTTTTTCAAGTTTGTACATAACTATGTAGATAGAATCCAAAAGCAATCTCACGCCTTCTCCAAATAATTATAAGAAAATTGATTATTCATAACAATCAATAATCATTGGTAAAGGAGTTAATAGATAATTCTTAGTACATGATTCCTATGCACACATGCCCTAGTAAGGGATCTCACCTTGACACATATAGCTGATGTGGCAACTGAAGTTGCATCTCTCATCTCACCTACTATTGTGCACAACTTGACAATGAGAAAAGGTGACTGTATTGTAGGAGGCTTACCTCGATGCCTCCTGACCTCAGCCTCTCAATCTTTACATAATTTATTTGTTATTTATAGCAAAATGAAGGACACTTGGATTGCAGAATTAGCCTGATGGCCTTCTTGACAAGGCTATTTCTTTATAACATTGGATTTGAAGCTATTTCTTTGAAGTAGAAGCTACTCATGGTACATTCAAGGTGAGAAGCATATGAATAGGCATTTACACCGCAAAGATCTCTCTCCATGACAAGTCTTGCCTTAAGAACCTCTTCTCTTCAGTTTAACCTCATTACCTTCTTTGTAGTTTACAGGCATATTAAAAACCATTACGAAGTGATAGTGGAAAAGTTGACAGATAAGTCGCCCTTACTGCCACTCGATATAACCGTACATGAAATTTATACCTCATACGGCTCCTCGATTTTACAATGTCTAAGGAGCAATGCTCGAAATGCTTCTACAAGTGTGGTGCACGCTAAGCTACCGGACCGTGGAGGCCATGAATAATTTTTCTAGAAACCTGAGAGTACTTGGTTTTGTGACTTAAAATGAGGGTTCATTTAGGTAGCTTCTCCTCGAGGCTCACACATACCTCGACTTGTTTGGAAGAGAGGCCATTTAACTCTCAAATGAAAAAATGAGGGTTTGTCTAGTTTGCATGATTAAAGTTATTTTAATTGTTTCATGTTACTGCATATACATATGAAAATATTTATGAGCATTAATTTATCTGATCATCTTAGTTGATATAATAGGAATCCCATTATTATTTGAGTGGCGTAACTTGAATTGTTCCGATTGTACATTAATTTTATTGAATACATTTGCAAATAGAAAAGATATATGTATATTGATTTAGCTAATCCATTGAATTGATATGTTAGAAACAATTCTTTATTTTGATATTGACAATTTTGTGTTGCATAGTTCAATTATTCTTTATATACTTATAAGTAATGTGCAGAATTACACACCCACCTTTCTTCAATCAGGCTCACACCTTAGTACCTTTCGCTTAGGCTCCAGGAGACCTTTGGAGCCTTAGTGCGCCTTGAGCCATTAACAACTTTTGGTACAAAACATTGTTAATCCATTAAATTTTCTGGAGAGAGGGTTAACGTCTTGTTGCATTAAATGGCCACTCCAGAGGGTAAGCAGCTACTCTACTATATTAAATGGCTTCCCTACCCATCACCATAGCCCCTGTTACACTCCTAGGGTTGTCCCTGTCATGTCTCTACCAAATAACCTCATTACAAGTGGAATCGTCTCAATGAGTTGCAATGGGAAAAAATTGTCATCCTTGGCAAATCCCAAGTTGACATGACTCTTGCCTTGCCTCTGTCCATTGATCATTGATAGGTCTCAACCATGCATTTAAAACCATAAGAGAACTCCAACAAACACTTACTTCTTTAATAGAATCTTAAGAACCTCAAGACACATGCAGTGTTGTCTAACCCTGCACTGCACCTCGTTCTGGCTTCAAGGAGTTAGTGGCCGCCTTCAGACTATTTAATCTATTATATTACTTGTGATATCTCCATCACCTCAATCATGAGCTCAAATCCAAACTTGTCAATAGGCAACTTGGCTAGAGAAAGAGAAAATAGTAATACCATATAGAAGAGAAAATTGTCAATGGGCTACTTTGTTAATATCGTTCCATTTAATGATATTAGAGAGATTACCTTCAACTGTGAGCAAAACCAATTTAAGGCTATTTTGAGGGAAGCTAGTGGTCGGGCAGAAGTTATAGCTAACATAGATCATAACTGTTATCAACATAGTTATGAAATTCATTTTGGCAAGCGTTTTGTTCTTCTCATTTGAAAAGAACACACTGAGAAGAACATAGAAATACTGCTACCACTAGAAAAGTAAGAAAACTAATACAATTCTTCCTTTTTAAAAAAAAATAAAAAAAATTGTACTAGTAAGGTTTCCTCTGAAGACAAGATAGATGACAAGTTTCTAGCATGTTGATAGCATGCACATGTATAGAAATCTAATTTAGATACAGGTTATCCTTGCCTGTGTAAAATACAGCACATGTGCTTCAAAGTATATTTGTACAATATCAGAGGAGGTATATGCACAACATGTAATTTGCAATAATCATGTTAGAAACGTTCCAACTATTTTCAAGAAAGAACTATGGGAATACCTTATTAACATAAGGATGATTTGACAACAAAGGTTCCTCTTCCACTTTGATTCCTGGATCTTTTCTAGGAATAGGAGATCTTCCACTCTCACGCTGAAAAGCAAACACGCACAAATGAAAGGCATAAATTCATGGAAACTTTAAGTTTAACATGCAAGACTTTAGAACCTTTAGGTAACTATATTCTTTGCGCCTTTTAAAATTCAACCACACGTGCTACGAAATGAACAATAACACCAAAGAGGCAAAGGTTATCTGACAAGCAAACTACCCTTATTGGAATTTGAGTCTGGTGACCATTTCACCGCTATAGATACTACTAGCCAACTCTATTATTGTAGAAAGAGAAACAGGCGACGATTTGGCACCAGATATCCAGAGGTGTGGAAAGAGAAGCTGGGAGAAGTGGAAAAACCATAAAAAAATGACAATTGTTCGTGGAGGTTTCCAAAAGGGGCTGTCTGTTCGTGAGATTATAGATAGAATTTTCTTATTATTTTAAATGCGCGCTCCCCTGTGGTTGCCTAGGGCCGAAATATTCACTTTTCAGAATAGGTGGCCAAACTTTCATCCCCTAATCGAATCAAGGATTCTCTCCCTAATTCTAGAACCTGGACCTCAAGCACTACATATTGGTTTCGATAAGCTCACTGGTATGCTACATACTTTCTATGTAACTCATTTAAACAACCAAAATTGTACTTTTTATGCTAACACTTTCTATATAAGTTATATAACTTAGTTAAATAACCAAGAACATGAAAGTTCAAACTTTAATATGTATGCATATATATAATTGGTGTCCAAAATCATAGTTACTATTTTTTTGACAAACCAAATCACATATTCGTCTTTAATGGTCCATTCATGAAATCTACACAATGGCGGATAACAGTGCTAGCCTATTGGCCCATCTAAGTGCATGCATAATCATGCCTGCACAACCAAACATCACCTAAGGTATAATTGGTACAATGCAATACATATAAGTCCATCACATCAGGGAAAGAGAAGGGAGGAATTAGAAACGACTCTCTGAAGGACAAATTAAGGTTGATCAAGTACCATCTACATCGGTCATCAATGCTAGTTGCATTGTGCTCTTTTAGAATATTGATAACTTTATATGGGCTAATGCAAGATTATCAAGGAGATGGGGGAGAATGTAATAAATTCAAAAGAAATGGTACTCACACGTAATTCGTCTGGATTTGAATCCTCTTCACGATGAAAAATTGGTGGGGATTCAAATCTGTGAAAGCTGCAAGCATTGAAACAAATTTATAAGACCAAGGAGTAAATTAGTAGTAATAATCTGAAAATGGCAAAGATAAACTATACAGCTAATTAGAAAGTAAGCATAAAATTTAATAAGAAAGATAAGTAGAAATCTACATACATCAGGTGATCTATATTGGGATCAACAAAACGCATCTCAATAGGAAACCTAAACCGGAAAGGATCACGCTTAGCCTGCAAGGTGGAAGAAAGCAATAAAAAATTATATTTCTTACGAAGATACAATGTTTACATTTGGCAAATTACAAGAAGAGCTTACCAGAAAGGAAAAAAGAAGCACAAAGTTAAACCTTAAACTTTGAACAAAGAAAGATTGTCTGGTACTTTAAGACACATTAATCCTGGACATGGTTCACATTTTTTTACACTAATATATACTTTATATATGTGGCAGCTTGAACTCTGGAAGTAGCTTAGTTTTTTTTTTTGAGCAGCTGCTATCCAGGTGAAGATAGTCCGTATCTTCACAGACGTGTCTATTTCACCGAGCCTCTCTTCGAGACAGTGCCTAGATCGTTACGCCTTTCGTACGGGTCAGAACTTACCCAACAAGGAATTTCGCTACCCTAGGACCGTTATAGTTATGGCCGCCGTTCACCGGGGATTCGGTCACCTACTCCCCTGTCATCAAGTCACCAACTTCGTTGACCTTCCGGCACTAGGCAGGCGTCAGCCCCCACATGGTCTTATGACTTTGCGGAGACCTGTGTTTTTGGTAAACAGTTGACCAGTTTATTTGGCTGTCTATATTTCCTTCATTCATCTCTTACATTGTATTCAACCAAAAAATAGCACGAATAGGAAAGAAAACAATTGGAGTCATTGATTGGACTTGCTATTTCTAAAAGCTCTAAAATCCTATATAAAAAAATAAAAAAATAATTAAAAAAAAGGCCTCCAGCTAATATGCTTGATTTATTGCTAGTTTCAAAAAAAAAAATTGTCTAGTACCAATGGCTTTTGTACACATAAAAATGAACGCATCTTATCTCCCGCATTCTTAATTTCTTATACTTGTTATTTATTATTATTATTAGTTTTATTTTTATTTTTATGTGTCCTGGAAAATAAAACACACACCAACATTGTCCCTACGGAACTTGAACCCTCAACTTTCCACTTTGGAAGGTAGACGAAATACCACTGAATTACACCCTTTGTGATTAGTTGCTGGAGTTTCTGTTACCTAAAAATTAGTTCTTTTATTTTATTTTATTTTTCAGTTTAACATATAAAAAATTTAAAAACCAAAGAACACTGCAGTGAAGAGGCTAACAATTACACAGTCAGAAAGTCATATTTCCATCTAATTATGTCCTGGAGTTTGTAATATATAACCTCCCAACTTTAATCTTCTATTAAAAAAAAATGACCATCTGAAGTTCTAAACAGTATTATTGTTTATGAACTGAAAGAAAAATAATGTAGATTGAACCTAAGAGAACAGCTCTAGTTTTATGCAAAACATCAAAAGAAGTTGAATGAAACAAGGGATTGCCAAGATGAAGAAAGAAAATGGATCTCAAGTCATCAATGAGTTATAACTAAGCTAAATTTCAAGGGGTGGATTTCTATTGTAACATACGAAATGTAGAGGAATAGCTGAACAAAGAAAATTGCATACACACACACACACATATAACACAAGTCCCACAATGTAATAACACAAGATACCTGATTTAGCGCAAACCCCAAACCAAAAGTGAGAGGTTTAGAGAGGAAGAGGGAGAGAGTGAGAGAAAGGAACTCTGGTGTACTTGATTATCGTTTATATGCCATCAATCATAATTTGTATCCATGAAACACAACATCCATTCATGAAAATAAAGAGAGCAAACAAAATAAATGCATGAACCGCCCAAGAAAGCAATATACAAACTTGAAATTTATATAAGATCTAGTCTGCTAAGAAGGGTTTTGGTGCCAAACAGGTTTTTATGCAAGCAAAACAAAACAATATATCTAATGTTTGACTTCAATCAAAGCAGCTCCAAAAGAGAAATCTTTAAATGCAAAAATAAACAGTGCGCATAGAAACATAGATAAACATTAAGTGGCACTACCTACCAGAATTTCAACAATGACATGCATACCAACTTTAATGTGATGGCGAATCCAATACCAGTCGTTACGTCTTATAGGGACCCACCTGAAAAATGCATCCAGATACATGAAACTAACAGGGAAACTAAAATTAAAATATCATCTGTATCATATATAATTCATAATTTAAGCTAGAACTGAAAAATATTGAGTTGGCTAGTGTAGAATGCAAGTCGAACCATACAACCAGAGCTTCCTTAATTATTCTAAATAGGATATTTAGATAATCTCACAGTGAAGATGAGAATTTCTTTTTACAACTAACAACAATCAACTGACATGTTCCAACCCCATATTGCATTTAAAAGGATCAAAAACTCCTATATCGTAGGGTAATTCATTATTTGTATAAGTTTGTAAGGCTTGAAAAGACACTGAACAAAATTGCTGCAGTCAAGACAAAGGGGATCCTTCCTGAGATTTGTTAAAACAACATCCATGTCACGGGTACAGGTACTTAAGAAGGATACCTTAGTCTGCACCTTAGATCTAGATACATAGATCAAGGTATATTTTTAAGGGAACTTCTCTACTTCACACATTTCCAAACTAAAACTGTGTTTTTGTTTTCAAATGTTCAAGCAAACGCATACACACTCAGTGACTCACACTATTGCCCTAATAGGGCTTGAACACTCAACCTCCCCTTTGGGGAGGAGAGATCATACCATCTAGACTAATGCCCATTGGTCAAACTAAAACTCTGTTTCCATTGTGATAAATCCTGGTAATTCAATCCAAAAGAACCAAAACATATATGAGAAGCATGAAAGAGGAAACAATTTTTTGTTTAAAAAGAGACATGAACCAAAAAATATATAATATTCAAAGGGAAAACATAAAAAATAAAATATCAAAAATAAAAAATAAAAAAGTAATAATAACTCGAAACATAAAACTATTCTAAAAAGTTCCTATAACAAAGTAAAATGGAAACTTAATGGAAAGAAAAAAACTTGTGGGAATTGTTAATCAATGATCATTCAAATGCCTTAAACAGAGCGCTCCTAGGCAAATGGTTATGAAGATTCGGCAGTGAAAGACATAGGTTATGAAGGAAGGTTGTTTCATGTCATTTTGGGGAGGAGAGAGGGGGATGGTCATCTAGGCCAGTCAAATCTGCTCTCGGTGTGGGGGTGTGGAAATCCATTGGGAAGGGTTGGGATGAGTTCTCTAAGCATATTAGATTCAGATTGTGAAGGAAGGGACGTCCGGTTTTGGGAGGATACTTGGTGCGAGGATCGCCCATTGTCTTGTTTATTCCCAAGGTTGTTCAGGATTGCTGTTGATAGACATGCTTTGGTAGTTGACTGCTATCGACTCGATAGCGGTAGGTTGTCTTGGGATGTGCGGTTCCGGCAATCATTTCAGGATTAGGAGTTGGATGACGTCACTGGCTTGCCGGACCTTTTGTATAGACAGGAGGTGGATGGTACTGGTTTGGATTCTTTGTCTTGGGTGCCTTCTTCGCAGCGGACTTTTTAGGTCCGGTCCTTCTTTCTCTGCCTCTCCGGGTTCCACGGTTCCAATTTCTGGTGGAAAACGGTTTGGCATTTGAAGGCTCCTCTTAGAGTGGCCTTTTTTGCTTGGACTGCAGCTTGGGGTCGGATCTTGACTTTGGACAATTTGAGAAAGAGAAGACAAATCATACTCAACCGGTGTTGTCTATGCAAGAATGATGGAGAGTCTGTGGATGACCTTCTTTTGCATTGTCCTATGGCTCATGACGACTGGAGTCTTATTTTGGGTCTTTTTAGCGTCCAATGGGTTATGCCCCGGACCTCAAGAGATTTGATTGATATTTGGAGAGGCCAAAGGGTGGGGGCTTATGCTCACAATTTTTTGAGGGTGACCCCCCTTTGTGTTTGGTGGAGCTTTGGAAAGAGCGGAATAGAAGATATTTTGATGGGGAGGAATTCTCGATTGGGGAGTCGAAGTTTTCTATCATTTCTTCTCTTTTTAGTTGGGTTATGGGGAGAAATTGTATATCTTTAATTGAAATCGACTTTTTGGGTTCTTTGGCATAAGACTCCCCCTTTCTCTTTTTTCGGTTTTTGTACAACTCTTGGGACGCGTTCCCCTTTTGAACGCTTTCTAATACATTTTTACTTATAAAAAAAAAAAAAATCATTTAAATGCCTTAAAATCTCATCTTCATACATGCATTTGTCAATTTTCCTAAGTTTCAAACATGTTTTCTAGAGTTTCTATTAGGTTTCCTAAAGTATATTAAATTATTTTTCAGACGTCCCATAACCTCAAAACTTCCTAGAACTTTCAGTAGGAATTGTTTTGTGTCCAACTTCCCCTTGGGACCAGGTTTCTTCTTCAGTTACAAATATATAAAACCCAGTTCAATTCCTCTCTCGTAAATCATAGTTATTCCCTCAGTCATTATTTATTCAATCTCAGGGGTCATTCTTATGGTAGTTTTTTACATTAATACTCTTGTAATAGAAATTTACTCGGTAAAACTACATATAATCAGAGCACAGAAAGATAGTTACCCATCATAGACACCTCCAATGTCAACAAATGCTCCTTGATAAAGGTGTAAAGTGGTAACTTTACCTGCACAAATCTGAAAAGATATTTCCATAGAGTTACATTTTGTATTGTCAAATTGAAGCTCATGCTGTGAAATCTTTGTACAGATTCAGAGCATGTAGTTTAATCCTAGACACTTTGCATATTCAAATAATCTCTTTGGCATATATGTGCAGCAATAACTATGGATCCTAAATAGCCGGGATGGGGCTTAGTTTGGTTGAATTGAGTTCACATATGTACGTATACAAGTTGAGCAAACAATACTGGTTCCTTTAAAGGCTTATCCAATAGCTATAAAGCCCATAATCCCACCTATACAACACACTCAGACCCAAAGAAAAACAAAAACGAAAAACAAAAAAAAAAAACATTGGTTGAACCAACATTGGGTAATGGCACACTCAAAAACTTTATTATTCAATGGGACTATTGAAACATACAAGTAGAACACAGTCAAATCAAACACATAGCCATTCAGTTTCAACAATCACTGATAACAAGGATTTTAGAGAAGTTGTTCAATGAATTCAACGAATTTGAAAAATGACCTAATTGGCTAATTGTATGAAGAAAATTCAGTAGTCATAATTATTTGTCAGAACCACCTTTAGAATTATGACCTTATCAGAAGAGCCTACCAACTGTAACCTGTTCATGTATATTGGTATATGGGAGCACAACACATTCTAACAGTGACATACCATTTTAATTTTATGGATCCCTCAGCTACGTAAGCATTTATGCATCAATAACACGTTGAGACAAGACTAAGGTACAACCGCAAATTCAGAAGCAAACCAGAAAATAAATTTCGGGAGGGCTGAAAAACTTACTTGTCCTGGATAATAAAATGGAAGCTCATACTGCAATAAATGAAAAAGACTAGTAAGATTGTCTTTCCTGATCAAAATCAACCACATAGTTCATACATACAAATTAAAGAGAGGGAACAAATCCATCCTACCATTCCCTCTTTGTAGTCCTTGCCTCTTTTCCTCCTTCCAGGATAGTAATCTTGGTCATACTGTATGGACATAACCAAATTGCACATTAGTCTCCTATACTGAGGCTTTCAAGCATGCATATGCAATTTTTGAGAAGACAGTCATCCCAGTTGCATGCATTGCTTTTTAATTTGTGATTAAGTGGCCCCAAGCATTTCAGTCAAAACCCATATTCTTGTGTCCCACTTTGAACCGTCCAGATTTTCAGAGTTCCATATTCTGGTTTATTACGCACAATTTCTAGCTCATTGATGCATTACATTAAATCCACCCCGCCTTTAGCTCAAGTGGTATCTCCTCCTCCAAAAATGTTACTAACATATCCAAAAATGTATATTCCTTTCATTTAAATACTTTCTATGCCAACTTATTCACAATTATCCAACCCTTTAAAATTTCAGTTCAACTTCAAAATATATGGACCATTTATGATCAATTAGAGGGCTGGCCTTACCCTCTCTAGGCCCACAATGGCGGGAGCCTAGTGCACTGGGATTGCCCTTTATTTATGATCAATTGTGAAATTATAGTAGCATGCTATCATAAATACTAAACATATTCAATCAATAAATTATACCTGCAATATACATGTAAAAGACAAGTTTCACAGAAAAATAATGTTCAAAACAAACCTTATAAGATTCTTCCTCCAATCTATCCTTATTTGCCGCGACCCACTCATTATACTGCTTCAGAAACACCTTGTATCGATCCAAACACAAGCTCTCAGTGTCCATCCTCGACTCCCTCTCCACTTCTTCCAAATCAACCCTCACCGCCTGTAACTTATGCGCTTCGCGAATAAACTCCAGCTCCTCCCTGTCCACCTCCCACCCTGGCGGCGGCCAATCCCTTGGCGGTACGTGCCGGAGCACCAAAGGCCCCGCCCACACCGTCTTCAGTGGCTCCGGAATTTCCCCTTTAATTTCAAACTGTTTCGCGTAGTACTCCTCCTCCGTCAACCCCAAGTCCTCCATTTTCTTCTTTCTGTACTTGGGGTTTAGCATCTTGAAAGCTTCGATGGCTTCGGGGGTTTTGAGTTGCACTTCTTCGCCTTCGTTGAGGGCTGCTCGTGCGAACTCGGCTTCCGGGGTGAGGATTTCCTCCCAAGGAGCCCATCCTCGCTCTACCCAATTGCGGCGTCGAGCTTCCTCCTCGGGTTCTTTCTCTCTGGGTTTGAAGGATTCGAGGAAGGTCTCGTCGACCGGGAATTCGTCGGAGCTGAAGGAGTTGACGGCGAATTTGGTGGAGAGATGATGGGTTTTGAGGAAGAATTGGAAGGGGTTGGATTTAGGGATTTGGGGAGTGTGGGGTTTTGGTAGGGTTTTAGGAGGTTTGTGTGGAGGGATGGTGAAGAGATGATGAGTTTGGAGTGTTTGCATTTTGGGTTAGTGTGAGAGAGAAAGAGACGCTCGGTGGAGAGCGGAGTGAGAGAGTATAGTTTCAAGTGAGGTGTGTTTTCAAATGGATAAAATCGGTTTGATTGGTTTGCACAATGGTGGTATGCTGGTCCGACCCTAACCTTTATTGTCCAAAAACCTCTCTCTTTTTCCGCCAAATTAGGGTAGGGGACTCAAACTCGACTACACTTTAGCAAATTTGATGCTCTACCAACTAAGTTTCTAATGCTTATTCAAAAATCTTTTCTTCTTTTTTCCTGATGCTTTTGTGCATGGTTGATGAAATTCATTACAAAGATGGTATGCTAATTCATTGTACATGTTGAACTCTTAAAATTTTGATCGAATCAAAATTATTTTTAATAACAATTTTTCGTTATTCCATTTAATTGGTGAAATTCACCACTATAATGTTAAAAATTCACCTATTTGTATACATTTATTTGTGATTAGTAAAAGTGGAGTACTTCATCAATTTCTCGAAATAATAAAAAATTGTTATGAAAGAAATTCGGTTTATTAACTCTAAAGAGACGAAAATATATTAGTTGAGTCGAAAATACCATTTTATTGGTATGCTATACTAATACGTGGTAAAATATTACCCAACAATTAACGTGGTCAACATACTTAAAAAATTGTCCTTAACAATCTCTTGGTTGGACATACCATTAACATTACTCACATAATATCTATTTCCAAAAAAATTTTTGCTCCATAAAAGTTTGATTTGTACTTGTTTGTTAAAAAAATAGAAGTTAGAGCATGCGCAAAACGTAAGAGTAAGTGCGTGCTCGAAACATGAAAGCGGTACTCATTGAGAATGATTATGTGATTTAGATTAAGTCTATAAATCTGACCAATTTGTTACTGAATATTTAATTTGAACTAGTCCCCAATTATTTTTTTTATTTTTTAGCCCAAACCCAATTGAACTGCTTGCAAAACTAAGTGATCCAACCCAACCGTCCAACCACCCCACAGTACAATTTGCCCAAGCCCAAAATCTTGTGAGTATTATGTCCCAATCCAAATGAACTCAAATAATGGTCAGAGATCCAACCCTGAAACAGACCCAATTAAGCCTCAGAGTAGCCCAAATTAAGAAATTCTCTTACCCAAGGAAAAAAAACCCAAATTCAAGTTAAGATTGTATTTTAAGCCCAAACCCAAACTTACTGAGAAGTATAGATATAACATGTTGACACTTAGACAGAGACTTTATTATGCACAAATGAAGCGAAAGGAAAATGCTGAAGAAGGGACCATCAGTTGGAGGGTTCAAAACACTAATTTGTTTTCATTTAATGGTCACAGTCCCTCTGAGACATCCATGTGGACTGAGAAAGAAAATCTAGACCATATGGATGCATGTAATTCCTACCATAGGCTCTTGTCTAAAACACATTCACATGTTTTGTCGGTCCATATTTTGTCAATACATTGTATTTGGATAACATCTTAAAGACATGAATACCTCTCCTGCCCTAAAAGAGAAGAAGGTGAAGTGTTCGACCGTGAGTAATTCCGTAATACAACAATAAAAAGAAGAAAAAAAATTAGACCATGACATCTTATGAAGTATTAGGTTTCCGGATCGATTCTTCTTAGTTATAAATAATTCTTTAGGTCACACCCATAGATAGAGTCTAAGCTTTAACTACTCCGTGTAGGGACGCTTTAAATAGGTCTGGTAAATTAGTCGGACAAGGACTCGGACAACTTGATTATAATAAATAAATAAAATGGTACAAGTATGTACTCACTTTTTTCTTTTTCTTTCTTTTTTTTTAAAAAAAAAAGTATGTACTCACTTTGTCAAAGGATTATGTTAAAAGTTATTCTCTTTAATCGTACAAGCCGATCCAATCTTTGTATATTAGCATGGCTTTCGTGCTCAAGAAATTTGACATCCCCATGAATTCAGATCCAAGTAAACAGTAGTTGTCCTAATTAAATACGAGTTGATGGTTATTCAACCCTTTTGATTTTTTTAACCAAAAAAAAAAAAAAACCCTTTTGATTTTTACAACAAAGTCTGAATGATAAAAGTTCAAAAAACCCCAAATTCATTGAACTTTGGGAACTTCAACCAAGTTCACTGAATTTAGAAGCCAACCCTACATGGGAAGCAAACTCAATAAAGTTGCAGCAGATCGAGATGCATGAATGAGGCTGATCATTTGTTTGGGATGATCAAGGGGAAGGTTTCTTAACCTCTATTGTTCATCCACAAATGCAAACATCATTTCAATGGGCGATTTCATAATGTATTTAGCGAAGTAAATTAGATCGTTAATATTGCTTCATCAGGGTTCGAATAACTAATCTCACAATCTTTTAAAAAGGAGAGATCATATCAGCTGAGATAATGATCATTGACAGGCATCGACCCCCAACATAGGACCAGTGGGGGCGCTCCCACTGGATTTTTAATATTTTTATTTTATATCTTAAATTTTTTTAAATTTATGAAGATAACCCTACTAAAATTACAATTCACCCCACTAATTTTTCTTTTTGCAATTTTTAATTTACATTTTTGAAAATTTATGAAGAAAATCCTATTGAAATTACAAAAATAAACCCACTATATAAGTTTGCCCCCACAAATTAAAAGACCACCCCTCTTATAAAATTTTCTGGTGCAGTCACTAATCATCAATAATCACACCAATATTTGAGTGAGAACCCATGTTCAATAATAGAGCCAGCATGACAATTGAACAAGATTTTAAATAAAAAATAATCCTAGGTATATAGGAGAACAAAGATCCAGTTAATGCCCCAGTGTATCTGGTTGTCCCTGGAAGAAAAAGAATAGATTAGCACCTAATTAAGAAAAATTATCACATAGTAGTAAGCTAATTAATTTATGGAATCAAATGATGATAGATATTGTCAAGTGGGAGAAGTTCTCTATCAAAGTCTTATTTAAGGGTCAAACTCAAACCTACCAGAATGTCATGTTCTGGGAATGGCCAACACCCCCACCTTCTAAGACCATGGCCACTGCATGTTAAGAATAATGAGCTCATGTCCTCTCTCACCCCTATTGTTGTCTCTTTCACTTACAACAAACCGAAGCTATTAAAGATTGGACCCTCGATGTTTCATGGATAAAATTTACATTGTACATCAGTTATATAATTTGGACCCTTCATGTTCCATATATGGATAAGCATGAGTACCCCCCGCCCACGTCATCTCTCTCCATCTTTCTACCTAAAATATCCCTAATATGGGTTATAGTCTAGTGGCATCTCTTTTATCTTTTAATGGGAAAGATTAGAATTCAAGGAGTAGATATTCAGTGCGTCTGGTGAACTGTACACCAGGCTAATCAGAGTCGTGCATGCAAAACACGAACAGTGCTAATTAGTCAATTTCACGATGCACCGGACGTACTGAATATCTATTCGGGTTCGAGTCCATATAAGAATAAATGAGTGTGTGAATTTCCTGTCAATAAAAAAAAAAAAAAAAAAAAAAAAAAAAAAAAAAAAAAAACTCCCTAATTCTCTTCTTAGCTGTAGTATCATCTACGTCACTGTACTACTATGTATTCAACAATGTGATGTAAAAGTGCTACAAATGTCCTTATTATCAATTGTTGAAACTGTTTCTAATTCAAAGTTAATCAACATCATGAGTAGTGATCACACCCTAATTAAGATATAGGTGGGGGAAAAAATTTGCATGACAAAATTAAGTTGAAGGATCCAAAAGAGATGAATTAGGGAATGGTTGTGCAATCAGGTAGAACTTTAGTATACTATTCAGTTACATGATTAGTTGAATATTAGAAAACTAACACCTTCAATTATTGTAAACATTTAAAATATATGTGCAAATTAATTATTCAATTTTATATGGCAAATACTACTAATAATTAAGACTTTTTTTTTCTTTTCTTTTTTTTTTCAAAACATTTTTTTTGAAGACTTAGGCAACAACACATGCACTATCTCAACGCAGGTGAAGGATAAAAATAATTCAAATCAGAAGCTTATCTTCTCAGTTAAGATGGTTGGCACCAATTCTTGATATATACATATGCCATTAAGATAATATATATATAGATACATTGAAAACCCTCCTACTCTCATTGTCATAGTTTTATTAACCCTAATCTAGCTGCATAGCAGCTTTGGTAGGTGGCTTGCTCGAGAAAATGATTCTAAGATAGAAATATTATATTAAACTTTCTCGGTTCACGCAATATGCACATGATTATCGATATTCATATACTAATATTAATTCAAATAGAATGAAGGTTTTACTTTTGTTAATTATTAGAGAGATTTCGATAGAAAGTGGAGTGTATAATAAAGTTTTTTATTTTTTGAAGGATGAATCTTAATAAGTATAGCTATTATCGTTATCATTCTTACTTTGTCTTAATTTTGAATGAACGGTGGTGGTCACATAAATTCTAATAAAAATAATATATACCATGTTATAAATAAACCATTTAATACGAATGCTAAGTAGGATTGAGTTGATTGAATCCTAACATACATGGACACAAGTGTAATGAAAATGGGCAAAATGTGTAGAAGAAAAATAAAAATGGGAAGGAAAAATAAAAGCATATAAAGGCTACATTAATGATAAACAAATGAACAAAGCATAGAGCCTGTGGAAGATATTGAGCTTAGAAAGAGGACAAGATGATGAACACATGCTCACATGGCATTGCACATGAATGTTCGGTTCTGACAAGGAAGACTTCTCGTAAAGCAGAGGGGGACCCTTCAGTTGCAAACCTAGAGTTAAATAATACCAGTTTTTCATTTGGGCATGTGATCTCATATATATATATATATACACACTTCTTATGTATGAATATTTTCTTCTTTCTCATATAAAAATCCAATCACTCAATCATTATCTAGCGCTATACTGATACTTTCTACGATGGGTTATTTCCTATATCACAGGAAGTGTGAGTGAAAGCAACTGCAAGAGCAGCATAATTGAGTCAGAGTGTGAGAGTACTCGGAACAAAGTTATTTCTGCAATTGTTTTCAGATCTTTCTTTTTATCTAAAATGGAAATGATATTTTGTTGTAAAATGTGTTAGAAGA